AAATCATACAAAAATAATACCTTTAATAGTTTTCTGATGGGCCTCACGGCAGACAAAAAAAATGAATACTCTTTGTGGAAAGCTGCTAAATCATTTAACAGACCAATGCAGCAGTCTGCCCCAGTAAAAATAAACGAAACTCACTGGGCTAAAACAAATTCTCAAAAGGCGAACCTGTTTGCTGAACACCTAGAGAAAACCTTCAGTCCAAATGAAGGCCAAGATGTTATTGGGACAAGTACAAATTGGCCCGAAGGCGACGCTGCAATTGTTCCAGTCACTACGGAAGAAGTGAGAAAACAAATTTTGACAATGAAACTCAAAAAATCTCCTGGTTTTGACTTAATAACGGCTGAAGTTCTTCGGAACTTACCCAATAACTGCATCATCTACCTATGCGACTTAATTAATTCGTGCCTCCGTTTGAAACATGTACCCATTTTTTGGAAATTCGCTGAGGTAATTATGATACCCAAACCAGGGAAGTCTCCCAATGATGTATCCTCATATAGGCCAATATCTCTATTGCCAACCCTATCGAAGCTTTTTGAAAAACTACTACTAGCGCGTTTATCACCAATAATCGAGAGAAGACGCTTAATTCCGGATCATCAATTCGGCTTCAGAAAAAACCATTCAACCATCGACCAAATACATGTAGTCGTAAATGCCATTGAATCGGCGATGCAAGAGAAGAAAGTGTGTTGTGCCGTGTTCTTAGATGTATCACAAGCCTTCGATAAGGTTTGGCATGAAGGATTACTCCATAAACTTAAATCATTATTGCCCATACAATACTGTAAGCTGCTATCATCGTATCTAAACGACAGGTACTTCAGTGTTAAATATGAAGATGCACATTCAGCACTAAAGAAGATTAGCGCAGGCGTCCCGCAGGGGAGCATTCTTGGGCCCATTCTATATCTTCTGTATACACACGACTTACCCTCTGCAAACCAACTAGTTACAGCAACATTTGCAGACGATACTGCGGTTCTAGCAATCGAAAACAATATAGAAGACGCGACGGCTAATCTGCAACACACAGTCAATCAAATTGCTTCATGGGCAAAAAAATGGAGAATTAAGCTCAATAAGGAAAAATCAGTACATATAGTCTTCTCATTGAGAAATTATAACCATATTCCAATTCATATCGATGCCACAAAAATTCCACACGCCAACGAAGCCAAATATCTGGGCATTACGCTTGACGCCAAGCTGCGCTGGAAAGCGCATGTTAAGAAAAAACGAGAAGAGCTTGACCTAAAACTAAAGAAATTTTATCACCTCATAGGCAGGCGCTCTAAACTGGCAATCCACAACAAACTAATGGTCTACAATCAAATACTAAAGCCGGCTTGGAGTTATGGCATACAGTTCTGGGGTTGTGCCAGCAAGAAATACATTGCAACTATCCAGCGCTTTCAAAATAAAGTACTACGATGCATCGTAAATGCTCCATATTACATTAGAAACAGTGATCTCCACCGTGACCTTGACATACCAACAGTCGACGTCGTGGCAAAAAGGTGTGCCATTGCTCACAAACAGCGATTGAAAACACATGTCAACGTTACAGCATCCAGTCTTCTCCAGGTGGTTGCAGTATCTAGACGGCTAAAAAGGAAAACAGTGGCAGACTTAATGGACAGCGAGTAGCAAAATAGCTTCATTTTTTTTTTACATTAAATATTCAAATAAAATTGCTTATTAGTACCTTTTTTTTGTTATTTGTACTAGGTGCAATATTAAAACGATTTTTGTCTTTATTTGAAGAATCGTTAATAAATAAAAAAAAAAAAAAAAAAAAAAAAAAAAAAAAATCTATTGAACTTAATAATAATATGTACTTTATATCCAGTGATTTCTCCAGCGGAATATGATATTAAAACGGTGAATAAGTATTTATTATTAGAAGCAGTATGTTAGCTTCCACTCAGTTATTGTAACCAACCAATCATCAATTAGTTATCTTGTATTTCTTGATAATTTCCTTGCATCAACCAACATGAGTAGGAATAGGAATAGGAATGAACGGGGTACTAGCTCCCAACGGAGCGGAGCACTACCGCACTATCTTTTGTGCTGCAACACACCCTAACCGAACAGAAGACATTCTGCCTTCTAATGAAAGCCAGAATGTTGGCCGTTGAGGACCTCCTAAAGTCAGAAGGGGAGAGCAGCTCTCCTCCCAGTGTCCTCCTCCTGGCCCAGATCAAGGCTGGGCAGTCACAGAGAATGTGACTGAAAGTCTCGTCTGCTTCTAAGCAGAGTCGCCACTCCATCTCTTCGGACAGACCTATTTTATTAAGTTGATATGCAGTCCAGAAAAAAACGTTTTTTCATTTTCGTGTCAAATTATGTGGAATCTAACCAGAAAAAGTCTTTTTTACGCTGATATAGTTGTATAATAGTTTATACTGAAACTGGAGACTAAGCTATGTCATATGTTGATCTTGCTTGCTCAGTTTTTTCACATTAATCACTTCAGTTAGGGACAGATATCTAAAAAATAAAAACATTGCTATTAGTGAATTAGATATTAAGTTATTGTTTTTTGGAGTTGAAATTAACAATAAATTATAAGAAAGGAACTTTAGGTGTCTTTTTGTCTTGATTGGAGCGTAGTGTAAACCCAAAATACTCGGTCTGTTGTCTATTGTACAGGAACTCAAAAAAAAAAAATTTATTAATTTCAATAATTTTTAAAATGAATTAAAATTTAAGAAAAGAATTTTTTAAGCAAATTTTTTGTTCTATTATATTAGATAATAACACTTTACCATATATAACTGAAAAAGAATTTTACTAACTGTCTTTGTAATGACTTTCAAAATATGATAAAGTATTATATATCATTTTAAAATTAGTTTTAAATGGTGTAAAGTTTTTAATTATATTACAAAATAAATTTCCTGTTCAGTCGTTTTCAGCTTTTAACATATATGTGAAATATTCATCCATACCTTGGTATATGGCCACTTAAGTCAAATGTGCAACAGTTTAGAAATAATAGATACACAAATGGACGTCCATACATATATCCCCACTCGTTTGTTGAACATATATATATTTTCGGGTTGACTAAATTCATTATATATTGTAAATGCAGTGGGGTGCATTTTTGATATGCAATCAAGAACCCCTCCAAAGTACTTTAGAACGTCGTTGCTGAATGATGGCAATAATGCTCATTCAATGCACTTTTGAAGCCAATATATTGGGTGGCACAAACCGAACGGTATGTTATGTATGTGATATATCGGTGTTATATATGTAACATGTATTTTGTGTAAAAGTTGTTGATTAAACCGGAAATTACAAATTTTCTACGCAATGTGCTAATAAATTCAACGCTTGTTGCTTCCAAGCAATATGTCGGAATCCTTTTCACAAATAAATTTTGAGATTTTCATTTAATAAATTTAATAGTTACGTGTCTGCAATAGAATAACGAATATCTGACGTGACATGCAGGAATTTTAAAACAATTTAATTATTTTAAACGTAACACGTTAAGTGCTTAGCAAAATCCTGTAAGAAAATTTGATTTTAGTGTTGTGTGAATAATTGCTAAAGGACGAAATACTCCACATGTACTTCAGTGCTTCACACGTTCTTCGCTTGTAGCGCTAAGCATAGCCAGATTCGGTGGCAGACATGAGGAAGCGCTCTTCACAGAACTGTGTTTGCATACCAAACCACAAATAACTGAATTGCTGCTTAATGTGCCACACAGTGAAATTGCCTTATTGCCTTATTGCCTTAAGGATGAGTAGCATTTCCTTGCTTTGTGGCGTGAACGTGTTTGTAATTTTAAAGTATCTAAAAGTAGGCTAATCATTCAAATGTTATTTGCACTGAAAGAAATAAAAGTGAGCAAAGAAAAAGAAACAAAAATTGTAAAAAGATATAAAGCGAAAAGTTCCGGAAAATGCAAAGTGCTAAAGAAAAAACTGATAGCAAAATCCACTTTTATCATCCGACAAATATCCTTCGAATTGAATTTTTCCTCAGGCTACACACTACCGCCTCTCTGAATTTTTCCTTTTCACCTTTTTCTTGATGCAAAGGCTGCTGCTATTTGCCAATGATGGCTTCTTTATACGTTTTTTTACCTTTTTAACATCAATCCATTTTTATTCTCAGACACTTCAGAACAGTTCCACACAAACATCACTACTGACTATCGGTTCGTATATTTTGGCTTTGATAGTTTATAACTAAGGCGCGCTGCAGCTGCAGCCGTTGGAGAGGACCGATGTGAATGTGAAAGTCAATAAAAACTTTTGCTGCAGAAATCCGCATTATATAAATGCAAGCAGAAGTTCTGCACTCTTCGCTTTTTTTCATTATAAAAAAAAAATGTTTTTTGTGGTTTATTTTGTAATAAACCGCAATTTTAACCAAACGAAAAAAAAGGCTTCGAAATAAAGAATACAAGTAATCAAAGCTGTTGTAGGCGTGTATGAGGCGCAAAAAGTTTTGTTGCATTCACTCAATGCAAAATGCATAAAAACACAAAACTGCTTTAACATTATTATTAAAATTTTATTTTTCAACATCAATCATAACCAAGCCAATTTAAAACTTCGTTAACAAACATTTTCTGTTATGGCAACGTCAATTGAAGTGAAATCCATTGGCATCCTACACATCCTACAACCGCACAAATAAAGTGAATCCCTACATTACTCGTTGTCAGATAGTTTGACAAAAATCTAATAAAATATTTTAGCTCTCTGATGTACTTGAACGTTCGCTTTTCGTTGGATTACGTCCAACGAGAGCATGGAAGCGTTGAACTGTAGAAAAAATAACTCTGAAATCAACATCCATCCATGTTTGCAAACGAATCGAAATTGATTTACTGTTTTTTCAAAAAAAATTTTTTTTAATTTAAATTATGTTTAGCATACTCTGAATACTACAAAAAAAAATTTAAAAATTATACTTTAAATACTTTTGCAATATTAATGTTTGCATATTGATTCTAGGACGAAGGCTGGAAATTGAATCGCACAAACTACTATCAAGAAGGATGGCTAGCGACAGGCAACATACGTGGCATCGTGGGAGTGACATTTACCACTTCACATTGTCGAAAGAATATGGACTACCCGCTCCGCACAAACTATAACCTACGTGGTCATAGATCAGATGTAAGTCAAGCAATGTTGTGACTATATAATTTTTTTATACACAACAAAATACTTAGTTAGGTTAGGTGATACCGTCAATGACTCCACTTAATTCTCTTCTAAAAATCCTTAACAACACTTACTGAAACAATCAATTCAGACATTGATAATATTCTTATTACAAAGTGAATATATCTTTGACTTGGCTTTTAATCTTTTTGATTTTTCTAACCGTTTATTTCCGACACCCTTTCCTTTTTTACGTACACTTTTCCATTTATCATACCCGTAGCTGATGTTTTTCGTCCTCTTTAAATCTAAAAATAAATGTAAATTAGGCACATAGAGGGCGCGATGGACAGCTGGAGAAAATATGACTAAAGAATGGCGACGCTACGCTCGCCAAAAGAAATATATATAGTCTTGCCAACACATTTTCTTATTGCTGTATTATCGATGGAATTGTAAAACACACACTAAATTTTGCATAATTATAATAAATTTCATTAATCAAAAAAGTATAAGGAAAATAATTAATAAACATATATGTGTAAGTACTATAAACTCTTATTCGTATGAATATACATATTTGTTTCAATTAAATATACTTCCCAAAAACAAAAAGAATAATTGTTCTATTAAGTTAATTACAACTGTAAATACTAGATAAATACTAGTAAATACTAGATAAAAGCACCAAAAATCAAAAAATAGTGTTAGATAAAAGTGCTAGCTATTAGCACGAAACGATATCTCTTGGCAGGAGTAGTAAAAGTTTAAAAATTAAAGCAATTATTTAATTTAATAATAATAAACTTTTTGACCATTTTTTATGTTTTCGTCTTAATGACATCTATATTTTGCTTTTCTAGGTTATATTAGTAAAATGGAACGAGCCTTATCAGAAATTAGCTTCATGTGATAGTTCCGGCATTATATTTGTTTGGATAAAATATGAAGGTCGTTGGTCTATAGAATTGATCAACGATCGTAACACACCAGTAACACATTTCTCTTGGTCTCATGATGGGCGCATGGCGTTAATATGTTATCAGGATGGCTTTGTGTTAGTTGGTTCAGTGGCTGGTCAACGCTACTGGTCATCGATGTTGAACTTAGAATCTACTATAACCTGTGGTATATGGACACCTGATGATCAGCAAGTATATTTCGGAACTACTCAGGGACAGATTATTGTAATGGATGTACATGGTGCTATGGTCTCGCAAGTACAATTGTGCAGCGATGTGGGTATTACGTCAATGGCTTGGTCTTGTGAAAAGTTCAAAATGGAAGAGG